TGTCCCTGATCCTAAAAAACCTTTAGTATTTATTAATAAAATTACAATTTAAAATGCCGACTTAAAATAAAGGAAAACTGAATTGCATTATAAAACTAAAACAAAAGAAACAACAGGAATATTTTAAGATTGAAGGAAAATAAACTAACCAATTATTTACGTAAATAAAGCTGTTAAATAAGTTGTAGGTAGTATAGTAGGTGTATGTAATTTGACATATTTATTAGCGAAATTTTATTAATTAAGTGTTTATAAAGATTAATTTTAATTATTCCTTCATTTACAACAATAAATGATATGTGGGAGTCGCAACTTTATATTATGTATCAAGTTTGATAAACAGCATTTTAGTCATGGGTTTTAGTTAGTAATGCGAGCGAGTGGTTAATAAAAGTGTCTAGAAAAGTTTATAAACGAGTTGCATACTATACTTTTTCTACGACAAATATTATTATAAAACTTAATTTATTTCTAACTAATTTAAATATTTTTATAGAGTTACATTTATGCAAAAATAGAGTAACCAAATTTGTATTAGAAATCTGTTTTACCGGCTTTTGGTATCATTTTACAAGAAGGTTATGACATTTGACAACTGTCAACTAACTTTAAGGTAACTTTAGCCCGTGACTAAAACGCCATAAAGTCACAGCTTGTACGATTATGGGCGTTTTAATGGTGGCAGTAAAAGAATATTTTAATTAATATAGATTTATTAGTTTTAGGCTTCATCCACGTTAAATTTAAATTTCCTAATAATTTATTACCTACTTTGAATTACAAATTTTGCAGGATATTTGTTTTACACGAAATAAAAATAATTATGAAATTAATACCCATCTTCCTTAATTCTTAATTTATTTAAATAATACCTTCATATTTCGGTTACCTTGTCAAGTCATCCGCAATATGCATATTTTAAGCTCTAATTTGACTGTTATGCATATGTTTAGGATTGTAAATTTTTAAATTAAGATAATCAAAACATGTCGGTATATAGTCTTAAATTACTGTGTTTGACCTTTTTAAGAAAAACATTCCTTGGTGTCACTATTCGTGATGATATTTTCTAATGACACTGAAAATATTTTAGAACTATTACGGTTTGTAAATAACAAATTAGTTTTTTTTAAGTTATCCTACTAGCCTGTAAAAAACCCGCTTGGACCAATAAAAACATTCGACTACTGCCTACTTTTAATAATTGTTATTATAATTGAATCGGTGAGATTAAGAACAGTACAACTACAAATGTCAAAATTTTGACAAAATATTTAAAAAAATCAGTTTTATAGTTCTAATTGCATTTTTGCGGAAATATTTTAACTGTTTTATAAAATATAATGTTCATATTCTGTAAAATAATTTATATATTCTCAAAAATAGTATATTAAAGAACTAATGTCATAATAAGACGTCATTTTGTCGCACGCGGACAATTTATGAAACTAGCGACGAAGGAGCGAGTTTTGTAATGGACGAGTGCGACAAAAGGTCTTATGACATGAGTTCTTTATGCTATTTTATCTATTTTGCAAAAATTCTATAAAAAAAATTAATTTTATACCTTAAATTTAATTTGGGCGAATTTTACTTTAAATAGTTGGTATCACAGTCATTGGTTTGACAATGTCAAAATCGATTCGCCATGCCGTCCTTAAGTTACCTACTTACAATAAGCGGATGTTAATGTTAAAGAAGAAAAAAGGGATTTTCTTTGGTGTTAAACATAATTTAAATACTAGAAAAATCATAAAAATATTATATCCAATATGCAAAATATTATGCTGTTTAAAATCAAAATTTTGTGTGGGATAAAGTATCTCATTACAGCACCGAAAGCGGTGTTATAATGAAGTCATTATGAATGCAAAATAGATAATAGTATATTATATATCAAGTTTGATAAACGACATTTTATACACGAATTTAATTTAGGCTTAAATTAATGAGTGTATAGAAAAGTTTATAAACGAGGTGCATACTATACTTTTTCTACGACCAATACTTATTACTATCTTAAAATGATTTAAATCAAAAATTTGTATAGAGCGCCATCTATGAAACAATAGGGGAATCTGTGTGTCACCGTCAAATGTCAAATTTTTATTATTTATAAAGGTTATAAATCGAAATGCATTTCTTGAAAATTGACAGTTTTTCACAGTGAAAGTAAAGAAAATGTTTTATGAGCACTTTACAGTGGAGTCTGTGCCCAAATTTAAGTTATAGTTTACTGCCGGCGAAATTAAAAGGTCAGTACAATGTTCATATAATTTTTTCAAATATTGGCGTTGAGAAACTATTTAATACTTTAGACTTTTTGTATTGAGATAATAAAATAATTTTTACATTAAGTATTATTTTACAAGAAAGGCACTTTATTTTAACGATTGTATGACATTTGACAACTGTCAACTAATTTAAAACTAACTTCAGCCCGTGACTAAAAACTTGTTGCTAATTTCAGCCCGTGACTAAAGCGCCATAAAGCCACAACTTGTCAATGTATATTTAAAAGGTCACTTAGTGTCATGGAAACATGTACGATAAAGGGCGTTTTAAAGGTGGGAGTAGAAAAAATGTATTTTAAACTTTAAAATTGACTTGTCAAAATTAAATTTTTGGACTGGTAGTGTTCTTATTCTCACCGATTCAATTATTGTACGTTTTATGTATGATTTAAAAAATCAAATTATGCCTTAAAGCCCATTTCCTATAGATGCGATTTGCGAAAAACTCCCATTGGTCAATTTGATTTGTCGGGAAAAGCGTTTCGACGTTTCGATAGATCCTGCGAATTTGCAAGATTTGAATCTAGGGGGCGGGAATCTTGAGATTGATTCAATATTTTGTGAAAATCGCACTAATTTGGCGTGATTAATGCAATTTCTTATCGTACCTACGCCATTTATGTTTATTTAAGTGAAGTTTTTTTTGTTTTTTATAATGGAGTTTAGTATATTAATGTTTCTTATTTTAACTTTATAGTCACTTTAAGTAACTTTACTATTTTAGTACCTAAAGCATGGAAAATATCGCCTAGTGAGAAAAAAATGTCCCTAAAATAGTTCGCATCTAAATTGCGCACCACTCAATGTGTCCAAAAAGTTCGTCCTTTTTCAAAACGGCATAACCTTTTTGATTCTTGAACGATTTTATTTTGGTCTTTGATATCTGCAAACCCCATCCTCTGGCAATTCATGCTATAGATATGAAGCCCACGGTTCTTCAAGTAAATTTCCTACAGGGTGATATGTAAAACGGTAAAAAATTTCAATAACTTTATCCAAGCCCCGTTTGAAAAAAGAAATATTTTTTCTCGTTTTTACTTTGAAATAATGAAGTATTATGTCTTATCTTGAAAAGGTTTTCAAATTTTTCGAATTGAAATCAGCAACGAAAATCTGATTTTTTTTTACAAAAAAATATATTTAAGGCTTTTTGGTAGGCAATACACTCAGTCTTTCTAGGAACAAGAAAATAAGATGGTGAAAGATTGTTCCTTGAATAATTCTGAACAAGCGACAAGCAACAAACATCCATTATTTTCAGAGGGGCCTAAGCAAAGACCACTTTTTCAAAATGACATTTTGGTGAAAATTTGCGAAAACTAAACCTGAACCGATATTTACGTTCGTGACATGTTTTCTTTATAATTTTTACCTCCTGATTTTGATTCAGTTGTCAAATTTAAGTTTCAGATAAAACCAAAATCACCAAGAATCAAAATTCTAAAACAATTCCCGGCTGTTAAATGTCTTAATAAAATCCGAAAAAAAATCATATCGTCGTTGCTAAGATTTCAATTCGAAAAACTTGAAAAACGTTTCAAGGTAACACATAATACTTCATTATTTCAAAAGAAAAACGAGAAAAAAAATATTTTTTACAAACGGGGCTTGGATAAAATTATTGAAATTTTTCACCGTTTAACATATCACCCTGTAGGAAATTTACTTGACGAACCGTGAGCTGAAGCTGAATATCTATAACGTGAATTACCAGAGGCAGACATCACAGACCAAAATAAAATCGATCAAGAAACAAAAAAGTTATGTCGTTTTGAAAAAGAAAGAATTTTTGGTCGCGACACATTGAGTGGTGCGCAGTTTATATGAAATAGGAGTTGCGAAATGCGAAAATTCGTATTACTTACTTCTCAGCCTTATGACATAAATAACTATTTTGTCACTTAATCCGTTAAAATTATGTAAATAAATTATAGATTGCTGAAGAAACAGTGACCTAAATTATTAACTCTAATGTTTCAATTAATTTTAATAATAAAGTCGTGAATCGTCAATGTCTGTATTTTTAGCAAACCAATTTAATAATACATATTTTACTCATGAGTGTGGGTCACGGAAGTTGTGGTAACTACGATTAGGTATGTGGCTGCTAATGCCAGGGTCAATAAGACATGCAATTATAGTCTGAATTAATTTCTCTATTGGTGCGTTTCAATAAATTTAAAAAAGATAATTTTTCTGTGTATAGATCAGGAAAATTTGATGGAATCAGCTCCTTAATTTTTAAATGGCAGTCTAAACAATAGGGTTATAATCGATTTCTGATTAGTCATATGATTATTAAAGAAAATTGTTTGTTAAAAATGTATTTTTTTATAAATTTAGAACTACCTTCCTTTAATTTTTTCTAAGCTATTCCATAAACTAACTAAACTACGATAGGCCTCCCTTGGTTATAAGAAGATTCTCGTGTTATAATTATAACCTTCACTAGGATGGTATTTTGTTAGTGCATCAGGGACACCCTTTATAAAATATTGAACTTGAAAAATATTTTTTTAATCTGGAAAAGTGTTATTTAGTTTTACATGGATTTCCGTATAAAATATATTGCCGTAAACTTCAATTACTTAATTCCATCATATAATAAAAAACCAAACCCTTTCTTGTGCATTTAGATTTTGTTAACCAAAAATTTAAAAAAATCCATTTGATAAACATAATTTAAACAATATTGTATTGTTTCAGATTCCTAAAGGAACTTTCTCGTGCGAAGGAAGGACGTCTGGTTACTATGCTGACGTTGGTACAGGATGTCAGGTAGGTAACAAAAACACCATCAACAAATTATTTCACTAAACAATTATTTTTAAGGTTTACCACATGTGCGATGGCCTAGGAAGACAATTTAGCTACACCTGTCCCAACGCAACTTTATTCCAACAAAGAATGCTGATCTGCGACCATTGGTACATGGTGAACTGCAGCAAATCAGAGGAAGATTACAGCGCCAACTTGCTCATAGGTCAAAGGGAAAAACCGTTTGTGGAAGACTCGGAAACCAAACCTTACTTCAGAACGCCCAGACCGGATCTACTGTCACAACCAACCGCCTCCGAAGCTAACATCATCTACAGAAACAGCAGAACGAGCCCGAGCAACAACATCGTAGGAGCCGGGTCACCAGCCACCGGCGATCCATCTTACTCCTTACCTAGTCATTGGTCGACGGAATACTCCAAAGAATCGACTACCAGGGCTCCCAATAAAGCGAGCAATTACAAAACCAGCTCCAGTTTTGTGAGGACAAACTATAATAACGATGACACGAAAAGAAGCAAAGGAAAGGCGATTGATGTAAATAGTTCCAGGAATAGGGTAAATGAAGGCCAACAAAATAGATTTAAATCTACTAGTAAAAATAATAATAATAACCGTCAAAAAGTAACTGTTAACTTCAATTCCAACTTTAAGGCGACCACGCCAGTGTATCCTCAAACAGTCGATGTTATTTCTGATTCACCGGAAGAAGCAGGCCTACTACCACCACTAGCAGAGCAATTCAGACAAGAAAACATTAAATTGCCTGAAGTTAATTTCCAGTCTAATTATAAAGCTACCACACCAGTATATCCAAAAACTGTGGACGTTATTTCTGACTTTCCCGAGGAAGCAGGAATATTACCACCACGTTTAGGAAACAACAGGCCAAAACAACAAGAACAAAGAGTAAAAGTGAACTTCGAGTCCAACTTTAAAGCCACATCCCCAGTTTACCCGAAAACATTGGATGTTATTTCAGATTCCCCGGAAGAAGCCGGCATTTTACCACCAAACTCAGAATCATTCAAAGTGAACCAAGGAGAGAAATTTAAGGTTAACTTTCAATCAAATTTCAAGGCCACAACGCCAGTATACCCAAAATCTGTGGATGTTATATCCGATTTTTCTGAAGCAGAAGAAATTTTACCACCAAGCTCAGGGGCATCCAAAATAAACCAAAAACCAAGAAATAAAGTTAACTTTGAGTCGAATTTTAAAGCTACTACGCCAGTATATCCGAAAAGTGTAGATGTTATTTCGGATTCTCCTGAAGCAGCAGGAATTTTACCTCCACGTTCAGGAAATAAAAGACCAAATCCAGAACAACGAGTAAATTTTAACTTTGCTTCAAATTTCGAAGCAACAACACCAGTGTATCCAAAAACTGTGGATGCTATTCCGTTCTCGGCTGAAGAAGCTGGTCTTTTACCACCAAGACCAAAACAAAATAAAACAAACAACCAGGAAAATATTGTCGTCAATTTTGCTTCAAATTTTAAAGCAACCACCCCAGTGTATCCAAAAACAGTCGAGGCAACTTCCGAAGATGCCGATGGCGCTGGTGTTCTACCTCCTCTGCAAAGAACTCAGGAAATCAAAGAAAACATACGAGTAAACTTTAAGTCGAACTTCAAAGCCACTACCCCGGTGTACCCTAAAACAGTAGAACCAACCTCACAAAACCCCGAGGATGTGGGCTTAGTAGCACCCCAATCAAAAACAGTTTCCATACAAAAAATCCCTAGTCTATCCCTAGATTTAGAAGCGCCATTCTTTGATGAAGTACCTTCAAAGAAGAACAAGACGTTCCCAGCTGACCCGCCTTCGAAATTTTATCAGCCACCTCGTTTCGAGCCTGATTTCAGTCAGCCAAAACAAAAACTTCAAGAAAACTTTGTACGAAAACCTTTCGACTTCGGTTCCATGAACCCTGCTCAATGGAATCAGCTGAGAAGAGATTATCAAATCCCTGAATACGACTTTCCGCTAGATGCCGCCACTAGGCCGAGTTACGACAGCAACTTTAGCTCTTTTATGGCGAAATCTAAGAAAAAATAATCAAATAGGCTTAATGTATAATATTTTATAAAATTGTTACAAAATTGAATATGGTAAAGGTATGTATGACCGATTATAAAATTTATACATTTACTTTTACTTACTTTTTCATGCTCTTAGGCAAACAAAATTATAAAATTTGTGCGAATTGTAAATTTGCTTGAAGGGCATGAAACGACTTATGTATTACACAACAGTCATAATCTAAGTACTTTTTTAAATAGAGTGTAGTATCTACCAAAATAAAAAAAAGCCGTTAAAAACCATAATAAAATAATTTTATATCGTTAGGTTAATAAGAATTGTTTTATATTTCACACCAAAGGTTAAATAAAGCAGATATGACACTCCGTTTGTAATCTTTATCATTTAACTAGTCAAAAATATGTTAAATGATTAAGAAAATCATAACTTGTACATAAACATAGTCTAGATAAATATTTATTATAAATAGTAATTTATGAATTTATAATAAACCCAGATCAAATATTGTCTTTTATTTTTTGTATCCAGTTGCATTTGAATTCAGGTTAATTAATCCCTGTCACGAAAAATCAATTTTTAGAAAGTTTTAGTTAAAAAACATCACAAATAAAATAATAAAAAATTCAAAAATGGTCAAATACAAAAAAATATCTGGGTAATTCTACAAAAGTTGGGCAACTTTTGACCTCATTTTGTTTATATTTGTTTAGTTTTCGGAGAAAATTAAACAGTATTATGTTATAAGAACATAGATAATATAATAAATATACTGTTCCAGACCGGGCCAGTCACTTTTTCAAACAGTTTCTAAAATATCTGTGTTTTCTAAATTTGAATGCAAGGGAAGTGACGAGTATACCAGGGTACTAATTATATTCATAATGTATTGGAAAATATAAGATTTATTGCAACTTTGAGCATATTATACATTAAATATCTTAAAATCAAATAATACCACACATCAGTGGCGGCTGGTGGATTTTGGGTATACCGATATCTCAATTATTAGATGGGACCCACACCAAATTTATATGAGTTTATAATGACATTAAATAAACAAGTTCTGCGCAAGCAGAATTTAAATTCAAGTTTGCGAAAAAAAGATAACCGAAACATCGAACATGGAACTGACGACACGGTACTGATGAATGGGATACAAATTTGAGATTATAATTCGGAATTAAGTATTTTACTGATATTTTTTATTAGTGGATGCTACTTATCAACAAATCACATATAGCCTTATATAAATTACAATGAAATATATATACATAAGAAAATAACTACTTGCCACAGTACTGAAATTTTGACTGGAACTATACGTGAATTCACCACAACTTCGCCGCTTGCATTGTTTTCAAGATGACTGTCGTGCAAAGGTCGGGCTCTGTAGGTAATTTTTTACCAACACTTGAGTTAAAATGAGGACTTGACGTTTAAACTTCAATATTTCGCAGGAATTTTGAATTTTAACATTCGACACAGAACTGACGGGTAAAAAGGAGTACAAAGATTATCAATTTTTTTAAAATTGCTATTATTCGAATCTATGTTAAAATATGAAAAATACATTATTTAATGTTTTATAGTTGTAGTGAATTTGAAAAATTTAAGATAAATTGAATATATTTTAAAATAATGACTCAGGAGTTGTGACACGTCAAGGTACTGATGTTTTGAATATTTATTATGTTTTTCTACAAACGTGCTTTTGAAAAAATACATTAAAATTGGGTGGACAAGTTAAAACAACCTGGATCTTTTGTAATATACTAAAATATTCACAAAAAATACCTACTCTATTGACTGATGACATCAAGTTTTCCAACTTTTGTAGAATCACCCATCTAGATGTTTTTGTATAAAATAAAACAAATGCGTCATTAGAAAGTTATGCTTCATCAAAAAAAAGATACTATATAAAAAATAATATTTATTCAAGCCCCATTTTATTCCTTAAATTTAACAATTGATAGGTGTCAGATAAAATATCAAAAAATTGATTATAAATTTGTTGAATAAAATATTGTGTGCCACTATTGCTCAAAAGATTCCACTTGCGTGTTTCCACGCACGGGGAATCTTCTTTTTTCCCACTAGTCGCACAATATACTATTATTATTCAACATCTGCAAGAAATATGTAACTTCGTGGACCTACTGTGTGGGAAAACTAATGAATTCCCTAAAAGTTCATTCAAAATGCTATTTCGCCAACTAGAGGGCTTTAAATTAAATTTGTTATTCATTATGAAGACGTTTCTAAATATTTTAAGCCTAATATCGCAAAGATTGCATAAAGTCGTACGTCAACTTAAAAAAAGTTTTTTCACGTAGGCAAATTAATTTTATTTGATTATTTTTAAACATTGACAACTTCTGAATCTCATTAGTGCCGGGTATCCATATGGTGTGGACAGCGACAGCGGTTGTACATTGAACATATTCTTAATTTAATCATAAATCCAAAATAAAACAAGGAATAAAAAGTTTTATATGAATTTATTGGTATTAAAATGTAAAAAAATCTTTTTAACATTTACATTTTCCATTTTCACAGTGTCCAAGACCTTGTACTCTTCTGCATTGCTCAATACATGTTTGCTTGTTGCATGCAGGTTCAGCTCTTCTATGGCGGACTAATCCTTCCAATTGTTGTTCTATAATAATAAAGAAAAATATATATTTTCTTTTTACTTGTTTAATTTTACAAAGAGAAATCCATATACTTTTATAAAATTTACTTACTATTTTCAGAGATGAAACCAGCATCAGCCAAAGAGGCAAAGACCATTATAATGGCCATCACAAAGAAGTAAAAAAATTTCATTTTGAATTAATTGAGTGTAAAACACGGACTAAACGAAACCGAAATCGGCAGTTCTTATATAAGCTAATAACAAAATTATTCCAGGGTCAAGATGATCATTTTTTTGTTTGATAAAGCTGCACTGTAATATCATATTTTGATAATTTTGTTTGGTTTAGATAAATTAACATATTGTAAATATTGTTTTTAAAGTCTTGATCTATACATTACATATGTATGTAATTATTAATTTTTTTTATTTTATATACAGAATATCCCGAAAATACCGCCAGGTTTTTTTTTAAATTAAAGAATTACACAAATTTTGTTTAGAATATTTATTTATATAGAAGGGTAAAAGTTTAAACAAAAATTATGATGATTTAAATATTAAACTTAATTAAAAAAAATAATAAAAGTGTAATGTGTTACCAAGATTTTCATTTCGTATTTAGTCCCCAAAATATCTAAAATATTATTTTTATTGTACACTTTAATAATACACAATTTACAACATTTTAGTGTAAAATTCTCAAAAACAATTGTTGGGGGGGATTAAAAAAGTTCTCTATTATGTTAATATATTTTTATGAAAATTATACATGTATATAAAAATGAGAAAGATCATTATCTGTATAACATAAACATTTTCCATTATTACATTTTCCATGTGAGCCTCCTGCTTTTTTGCATTGCTCGGAACAGGTTGTACCACATACAGCTCTTCTATGACGAAAAAAACTTTCCAATAATCCTTCTATGGTAAAAAAAATATCATACATTTTCGTTTTTCTTAAGTTATTTTAAAAACAAAAATCTTTACTTACTATTTTCAGAAATAAGTCTAGCTTGAACCAAAGAGGCAAATACCATAATGGCCATGACAAAGAAGTACAAAGATTTCATTTTAAATTTGAATATAAAATTTTAGGACTAAATGATGCATACACTGGCACTTCTTCTAATAAACAAACACATTTTGTTTGATTAAATAATAAACAATTATAGATAAAATATATGTCATACATATATCAGAGTAGATAAACTGCATTAAAAATGTTAACTTAAGTATAATTATACTTAAATTTGATCAAATTAAGTTTAATTTCCTTATATATTTAATTTTTAACATATATTGCCAAAATATTGGATATTTTTTATAACTTATAAATATATGTCATACATATATCAGAGTAGATAAACTGCATTAAAAATCAGTTACATTAAATAATAAAACAATTTTTTACAAAATCAAAAATAAAAATAATATTTAAAAATAAAGATGTAAATAAATTTTAATTCTATATAATTTTTTTGATAAAAAAAATTAAAGGTGCCAGAAAAAGTAAGGTTATTAGCCCTTTGGGAAACCAATAAAAATAATTTATGTCATTAGGCTGGGAAGTAAGTCTTTTTTTGCTGAGTTTGAATTGAGCAGAGCACAAAAAGACACATTTTATCTTCAACACACATATTTATTTGTTAAAGGATAAATAAAACATACAATTATAATAATAATTATTATTATTAAAATTAGGTATGAAATGAGGTTAGATAGATCTGAAAGTTATCGAATATTTTAATTGGCTCAAACAGGTTTTTTACAGCCTAAGGTAAAAAACCTTACCCGAATGGTCTAAATTTTTTTAGGTTGTTTTTTTCGGTTTCTAAATTATTTGAAAATATATTGACTCACAAGTTCACGCTTTTAATCGAAAATAATTATTCTGAGCATGTATTTTGGGTACCCCATTTTGCCCCCCCTGCTGCCTTGTTTTGCCCCCTTTCACCTCCCGTCTGCTAATTGTACCATAAAATTAAAAAAAAAACAGAACATTTGATGTTAATCAAACTTTGACCTCTAATAACTCTAGAAGAAATCAATTTATCGAAAAATAATAAGATAGCTTTTTTGTAGAGCGTTACATTTTATATAAGAAACTGCAATGATCATTGCCATAAGTTACTTTGATACAGAGGTATAAAATTCCAAACATAAAATTATTTTTTTCCATGTTAATTAAATGGGAAAATAAAATAAAAACAGCGACCTCTTAGAGTTGAGCTGGAACGCTCATATTTGGTGAGGATTTTTTTATATTAAATAGAAACATTTGAGAGGGTAACTCATTATTCACGTTGTTAGGCTGGATGCATGGGCTCCCACGGCTAAATTATAAATTTTATTTAGGAATTTAGGAGATTTTTTGTAAAATTTTAGGAGAAATAAAGTGTGGAAATGAATTTCTTTAATTAAATAAAAAAAACTCTTTACTACTTAAAAAATAAGAAAAAAGTTATATTGACTAGTTTTTTAGTCAATCGCTCAACGAGTTTTTTTTAATAAAATTAAAAGTGGGGTAAAACTACTACTTTTGTATATATCTGAGATACATATTAGGGTGAGCCAAAAAAACTAACCTATCGGATTTATGGGTTAAAATGAACCTTTATACCGAGCAAAAAATTTCCCTGCAAGGCAAAATTTTTTGCTCAATTTTAAAAGGTGTCGGTGAGCATTCTAAGTTTTCCATTGAAATAACACGTAAAAAAATCTTTTTTCATTAAAAAGACTATAACTTTTGAACCGTTTGAGATTAAAATTTTTACGTCGCGGATTCTTGTAGAGCATAAAATTTCCCAAAGAATCTATACCAGAAATATTTTTTTTAATTCAAAAATTCGTATGTTTGAAAGCTTTGAAAAGTGTAAAAAATCATTAAAACTGCAGTTTTAGTGATTTTTTACACTTTTCAAAGCTTTCAAACATACGAATTTTTGAATTAAAAAAAATAATCCTGGTATAGATTCTTTGGGAAATTTTATGCTCTACAAGAATCCGCGACGTAAAAATTTTTATCTCAAACGGTTCAAAAGTTATAGTCTTTTTAATAAAAAAAGATTTTTTTACGTGTTATTTCAATGGAAAACTTAGAATGCTCACCGACACCTTTTAAAATTGAGCAAAAAATTTTGCCTTGCAGGGAAATTTTTTGCTCGGTATGTAGGTTCATTTTAACCCATAAATCCGATAGGTTAGTTTTTTTGGCTCACCCTAGTACATATACAGTATGTCTCAGTTTCTTGGAATCATATGGAAAACTTTTTTATTATTAATTTTAGGAAAAAAAGTTATTTTTCATAAAAAGTTCTGCATGGTGTAAAACTTAAAATGCAACCCACAAATATTATTTTTTTTAGTCGTATACGGGGTATGTCAAAAAAATATGAATTTGGCGCAAGAGTAAAGTACCTTTATATTTGACAATATCGAAAATTGTTATAAAGAAAAGTTAATCAGAACTAAAAACTACGTTTAAATATGCAATTTCATACACTTACATTAAAAAATTAGGTTTTGTTAATTTTTACTAATCTTTCTATTTTAAATGAACATTTATCTGTTATGATTAGAAAAAACATGAAAACCTTAAGTTGAGTCAGGGGATCTAGCAGGCCAAAAAGTATTAGAATATCAACAAATCATTTGTTTATCAGTGCATCCTAGATTACATGTTACAGTTAAATTTGCATTGATATTGTAGACAAAAAAGAAAAAATATTTTTTTTAATGTAAATGGATGTAATTGCATATTTGAACGTAGTTTTTAGTTCTGATTAACTTTTCTTTATAACAATTTTCGATATTGTCAAATATAAAGGTACTTTACTCTTGAGCCAAATTAAATTTCAGCACACTTTTTAAGAAAAAATATGTTAACTGTTTAGTTAATAAGTAACAGTAATTGAATCGGTAAGATTAAGAATAGTACAAGTCCAAAAGTAAAATGCACTTTTGTTAAAATATGTTAACTATATTATGAAATATAATATTTTCACTCTGTAAAATAATTTATATCTTCTCACAAAAATGTATTTTAAATTTTAAAATTACTTTTAGAAAATAAATTGTCAAAATTAAATTTGTGGACTTGTAATGTTCTTATTCTCGTCGATTTAATTGTAATGTGGATCTTAATACTTAAAAATCTCATAACAAAATATGAAGTTTGCAAAATACAGCAAAACATTATTTAGATTGTTTACTATTTTAGCTGTCATTTAAAAGAAAATTAAAAATCCTTTTGTTTGATATATTTTTGGTTTTTTTGTTGGTTTTTTAAGAAATTTTGGTTGTGATATATCATTTTAAAAAGAATTTAATAAAATAGAACCTGAAAATATATATTTTTAAATTAATTTTTAAAAAAGAATTTTTTAGCGCGACAACTACCTTAATTAAACGCAGTCAGGTTGGCCTATTTAAATTTAATTTTTAGGATTTTAGGAGTTTTAGAAGATTGAATGCAATTTTAGGAGAATGTTAGGAGTTTTCAAGATTTAAGCCAAATTTTAGGAATTTTATGAGTTTTAGGAGGTGTGGGAGCCCTGTGCGGCATCAGTGATTGGCTGATTTCAATATTCACTGTTATTTGAACCAATCGGGTTTTAAATTGGGAAAAAGTAAGGTTAACAGATGTCAGATTTGTTTATATATACAAGGGGCGACTATAATGATCTTTAAAATCGGGGAAAAGGAAGGTTATAATAAATTTTGTTATTAATGGAGTATTACACTCGAAGTAATGCGCATTATTTACTCGGATAAATTACGTCTCTCACCTAACCGCTCGAGACGCAAACCTCATCCTTGTGAATAATAGCTTGCATTATCTCTCGTATAATAATATACTACTATATTTTATATTTTCCTTACCTTAAATTGGTAAATTTGTTAATTGAATAACTAGCAATAAATTAGATATAAAATAAATTAATATATTTAATAAAATTAACCAATAGTACATATGATCTATTTTACCTTATTTTTAAATATCATCTAATATTATGAAACTTCTGTGTTACGGGACTTAACCTTTTTATCACCTTGGGAATCTGCTGTATTTTCTCTATTATATGCCCGGGTATATGGTCGTTACCGAAATATTTGGCAATGTGCCCATCTGGATACTGGTACACATAACTATTTTTACCGTCTACCGCCAAATTCGACCCATCGTTGTATAATACTTTGATCTGTCCATTGGGCAGTTCAATGGCAGAACCCACTCCAGGTACAGATACTCTTTTTTCAGATTTCATACTGTTGGTGTTGTAGTATGTCCCTGGTTCGGTGCTGTTCATGGAAAGTGCGAAAGATGGCTAAAAAATAATATAAAATAAATAAATGGATAATAATAAAAAAAAATAGCCAATGTTTAATTTTTTTAACAGCCTTATTTAAAAAAATGTGATATTATTTAGAAGAGGCAAAAAAGTTTGACCAACTTGCTTACAATATTTGGACGACTACTATTTTCCTTTCCACTTGTATTAGATCCTAAATTTGAGGGTCTTCGTCCTACTATAATTGGAAAATTGCCACCCTGTAACTGGGACAGTGTTTTTTCCAATAACAAGCAATGGTTATGGCATTCTTGCGTATGCTTCCACATCAATTCAAAAGTCCCAGTTAGGTTGTTGCAGTCTCCAAGAATAAAAGTTTGCTTGCGTCCTGAAGCGTCGACAAGTATCACGCCCTCTGTGGCGGATTGTGTAACTTTTCCTCCTAAAATAATTTTAATTTACAAAAACGTTATTTTCTTGTCAACGATTGTTATGGAAATAAAATAAACAGGAGCTTTCTGTTAAAATAACAGATTATTATAAAATCCAAATTTTGAAATATCTGAAACATGTTCGGGATTAGCACTGCGAACAAAGCTATTATCAATAGTCCAGTTAAACTGTTTAAAAATAGGCACAAGGTCTGCATTAAGGTATCTTCATTTAAAGAGTTGGATAAATAAATACCAGTAGGCCCTGACAGCAAGTAGCACAACTTGTTAAATAACTAGCTGCACTGCAGCTATATAGCTATAGCGCCGGGGGTTGCCAGTAAACTGACAATAGAGTCATGGAATCCAGTATAGGTTTGTCCGCCGATAGTGACTGTTTTCATTGCAGTAATTTATTGAGTTTTAAACATACATCATAATATAATAAGTAATAATAACATTAATAAAGTTGCTTCAAATAAGAATTATCAAAAAAAACGTCAATTTTTTAAGTAAAAAAAAAATCATCAAGTAAAGTTTTTTGCTTCAAATAAGAATTTTTTAAAAAAGCTTTAATGTTTTAATTAAAAAAAAAGATATCCCAAAAACAAATAAAGATGGATTTGTTTTGTTTTCACAAAATAATTTGTCATAAAAATGCCTTCTGTTTATGTCATATACATTTAAATTAGAAAAAAACAGAAAATATTATTTATATTCGGGCTCGCGCGCGTATATTTGCGCTATTGCGCAATTATTTGCGCATTTTAGATGTTATATACATTTATTTTGCTAAAGTAAAGTTTTCTGTCCCAAATTTTTTAATTACAAAAAAATCTTATCTCAAAAAAATATTTTAATTAAAAAAAATGTCTCAAAATAATTACGCTCAAAATAAAAAAAATATTATAATATAAAAATTGGCCTCTATTCTGCTATTTGTTACAATTGCGAGTTTGCACAATTTTGAAAATGGTTATAAAACAAATATTTTAGTGGTAAGACCCAGGAAAAAAGTTATTATTGTTTAAAATATATAAAAAAAATTACCGATGACACTTGAAAAATATTCGAATATTTTTTTTGTTTCAAGGTGTCATTTTAAAGAACAAACAATATTCTTTGTTTATTCAGGCTTGCGCGCATACATTTGCCTTGTCGCGCCTGTATTTGTGCTTTCGCGCATATGTGGGTAAAAACTGTGCAGCAACTGAATTTAAAGGTGTGGAAATTAGTTTTAAATGTTGAAAATATAAAAAAAATAATTTACAGATGAAACTCCGGAAATAGCTGAAGGTGATGACACTATACAGGGTGAATCGGAAGGATCGCACTAAACTCTAGGACTGCATTCTACACATCAAAATAATAAAAAAAACTCAACTGTTCTTATCCGATTCTTATTTGTTTTCAAGTTATAGCGAAATTTAAAAAAAATAAATTTCAAAAATAAATTATTATCTAATGTTCTTTGAAAAACTATGGAAACAAAGTTTTTGTTTCCACAGTTATACATGTTGTTTACATTTAAAAGGCCTAACTGTAAGCGTCAGTGGTATTTTTGTAATTTTCCAGTTTAAATTTTTTTAAAATGCCAAAAGTTTATTCAAATTTAGAGTATGCTAATATGGTTTTTGTTTATAGATTTTGTAATGGCAATGCCACAGCTGCTGTAGAAGAATATCGGCGACGTTTTCCACGTGAAAGGGCTCCTGACATAACATCTGAAAAAGCTGATTGACAAATTTTAGAAGAAGTGGAAAATATTTTGGATCTATTGGAAGATGCAACGACCAGCACCAGAAAAATCGCTACTCAATTGGACATTTCACAAAAACGGGTAAAACACACACTTCACGAGCAAGGCTTATACCCATACCATTTACAAAGAGTACAGTTTCTACACCCGGAAGATTATGCTAAACGTGTGGAATTTTGTCGGTGGGTAACTAACAATCGTAGAGTTGTATCGCGTATGCTTTTTACTGATGAAGCAACATTTACCCGTGACGGCATTAATAATACGCACAACTCTCACGTATGGTCTGACGAAAATCCCCATATCCCCAATCCCCTATAGTCGAAACCAATTTTCAGCACAGGTTTTCAGTAAATGTGTGGTGTGCTATGATTGCTGGGTATTTAATTGGGCCTTTTATCATGGAGAATCGCCTTACAGGGGAACACTACCTTAATTTTTTAATAAATGAGTTGCCAGGATTACTAGAGAATGTCCCTGTAAACGTAAGACGGCGAATGTACTTTCAGCATGATGGAGCCCCTGCACATTACGCTCGTGAGGTCAAGCAACACTTGGATGAAATATTTCCAGAGCGTTGGATTGGTCGCGGAGGTCCAATTAGTTGGCCTCCAAGAAGTCCAGATCTAACACCACTAGATTTTTGTTTATGGGGTTGGTTTAAAACAGAAGTTCACAAAGTTAAAGTGAATAATCGAGAGGCACTAATTCAACGAATCATTAATACTGGCGCAGTTTTTGAAGAAAAACAAGAGTTAATAGGACAAGCAACAGGCGCTGTTCGCAGACGTAGCAGAGCATGTTTAGAACTCAATGGGGGTATTTTTGAACACCTTATAAAAAGTCATAACTATTAAACAAATGTTACCGTTTCATTTTATTTACAGTTACAGGTTCAAAGTATAAACTACTTATTGAAATTAAATGCGTACCTAGTTTAAAGGATATAGATCATTTAATAAACCTAACTGTCAAATATTGATAAATTAGTACAAACACCGTGTCGTCTGAATCTGGTAAATGTGGTGTATAGCATATTTACAATATTTTAAGACATTTATAATAAATATTAACACTTATACAGGGTGTTATGTAATTAATGTTATATATTAAAATACTGAATACCTTTTGACATTAGGAATAAAGGAAAAATATTTTAAAAAGCATTTTTCCAAAGATAAAGAAGAAATATGCATTAGAAGTTTTTTATATTTTTTTGTGATACGCCACTGGTTACACACTTGTTTATCTCTGCACACCTGTATTTTGTGAGTACATAGATACCAACCAACAATTGTTAAAGTAGCTATGCGTTGCCAGATGTAAAAAATTGTTACTAAAAATTTTTCTTGCAAAAAATAAATAAAAACTCAATAAATACAAAAGTTTTAGGCCCTTAAAGCTCTAATACCCTTCTGTATTTATTTACTGATCCAGCTATTAGCTTAAGCAATGATTAGAAAATTTAGTACCTTTGAAATTTGAAATCCATAACCACAAAATTAATTTTTTCATCAGTTTTTTTTTCTGTTTACTCAGATGAAATTGGGACCAGTTCACTTTAAACATTTAATTTGTGTAAATAAATCCAAAAGCACTTCCCTTAGTTAAGATATTTACAATTTGAAAACATAACCTAAAATTTAAAAGAAATGCACTAGATTCTGTCATAAAAGTTGGCAGATTTTGTTTGAATTTACCTTCAGTACAAAAATGAAATAACCAACAATTAATAAAAACGCCAAATTGACAATTTGCATTGTTATAATAATAATAATAATAATAATTTATTTGTTGTAAAGAAACATAATACATTTCATTTTAAAAGTATAAAGAGAAATATACAAAACTAATCTGATACAACAAAATGGACTGGAAGGCAGACTAATCTGATTGTAATTCCAGCCCAAAACAAATTTAAAAACAAAAAGAAACAAAATTAATATAGGTCCATGACTATTTTAAAATAAAAATTAATGTAGAAAGAGGTTTTAACGACAAAGTGGTTTTTCAGGAAATAGTGGTTTTTACAAAAGCTTGTTAAGTATCAACTTTTTTAAAGCAGATTTAAAAGGTTTTAATTTCCGAGTCTTAAGATGTGCGGGTAGGTCATTGTATATGGCATAAACGTTATATGAAAAGGATCGTCTAAATATTGCAGTTGTATGAGCAGGTGGGGATATTAGGCCTTTGAATCTTAAATTTAAGCTGTGAACATCGGTACGGTATTGAATTTTCCTATGTAAGTATGGTGGTGTTTTACTTGTTATTATGGAGTGAAACAGTGTTGCCGAATGAAGAGTTCGTCTTTCTTCCATATTTAGCCATTTTGCGTCTAACAATTTGTAAGATACTGCATTAAATTTCCTTATACCATAAATATATCTTAAACATGATTTCTGAATGTACTGTATACGATTTACATTTCTTTTATCTATACATTGGTCAGGAAAATAACTTTCAAGAAGACATGAATTTATTATGTGTGTTAAATAAGGCAATATAGTTGACAGGCACAATTTAATCATGTCAATACTCAACTTATCAGATCCAACCGATTTTGTGGTAATATTATTTATACAAGTTTTAATTTCATCTTCAGTTGTTAGGGAAAAACTAAATAATTCTACAAAATTTTGCTTTAAATTTGCGTTGTAATAACTTAAAAGATCTAAATTTGGAGGTGTATATTTGGAGTATTGCGATAAATGATTATTTATTTCCTCAGGTTTATTTAAATACAGTTATTAGGTTCCGTATATAATAGTTCACAGCTTAAATTGTTGTTCAAATACAATCCCACTCCACCACCTCTACTTACTCTATCTCGACGAAAAAACCTATATCCATCTATATCAATTAAATTAGTGTTTACATTTTCAGACAACCACGTTTCACAAACACCAATAAAATCAAATTTTTTTTGTGAGACAAAAACCTTAAAATCTGCAAAATTGTTTGTTAATGATCGTACATTATAAAATGCAAAAGATAAATTCCTCATTCCTTAAGTGTACTTAACAAAGAAAACCAGAAAAAAATAAAAAAATTCTTAGGGTATAAAATAAATTGAATAGATATTGTATAAAGAAAATAAAAGAAAAAAAATAATTATATAAGCAGTAAATTTAAAATAAGCGGTTATATTGTTGTTTTTTCTCCAAGATCTCCTTGGACTTTCTTAGCCTCAGCTCTGGTGTTCCTTTTTGGTGCTGCTCCTATAGGTTTGGTGGGAGTTAATTTGAATTTTCATTTTGTTAATTTTGTCATTTTTGTAATTAAGCTAAATTTAAACAATGTTTGTCAACTTTTTTGAGAAATTTTGGAAAAACTGTTGTTACCAACCATAACATAATAAATCCACCAGATTAACCTAAAGTTCCTAGTCGATCAGTGGTGTACTTTTTGGTAGGATAAAGGTTATTATAAATTATTTTTAGACTTTGGAATTTAGAAAAAAAAAGTTTCAGGTGCTTCTTTATGGACCCTAAGGAACAACCCATTTTAATATATAACATTAATTACATAACACCCTGTATAAAAAAACTAAAAATAATAGTTTTGAAGTGTTTAATTCTTCTGGTAGAATAATCTATTAATAATGCTAATGTCAAAACAAAGTTTGTAACAATGAAAAAAAAAATAAAAAACTGCTACCTAATACTAACCTTCATAAAAATTAACTTCAAAATTTTTCAAATTCTCCATAAGCCAGCATTTCGCCTTGTCACTGTAATACGTAATTTTCGGCGTTTTCGCTCTGACAAGCTCTACAAACTTGCAAGCGTGCGTGTACTTCTTCCAATGCTTTTGCGGCAAATTCTCCACGCTGAAAATCTGATCCGAGCCGTGCGTAGGCAACGGCGGCGGCTCGCCGGCGGGCGGCGCCCCTTTACCGCCGGCGGGCTCGTACAGCACGATGCGAACGCCGTCGGGCGATATCCGCATCACCTCGCACACCAGTTCCTTCTTGTGCGGACCTTTTTTCTTCACGAACTCCACGCACACCTCGCCCTCATCGAGGATGCTCAGTATGGCGCTTTTGGTTTGGTATCTGGTCGGTAGGAGGCGCTGAGAGCACAGTTGCACCAGTCCCTGGCCACTAGGTTTCTCCACGGGCTGATGTGTCGGTTCTTGCGGATATTTTTCGATGCTGGCTATTTGTCTCGGTACATTATTGTTCGAGTATTTTGCTTCTAGGGCGTTGTAGTTTGTACTCGCGCTGCTTGGTGGCGCGTCGGAACATCTAGAGTGTGGTGGCATGCACTGAGGGGTACTCGTATAGGGGTGCGCTCCCCCGCCAGGATCAGGGTGGTAATAATTGTGGTTACTGTACTGACTTATGCTAGGGGGCACGTCTTGATAACTGAACTTTCTGGCTGCCTCATAACTAGACCCACAGTTGGAAAATATGGAATTTTGTTCGGGTCTATTGCACGATATGTTCGTGCAAGTTCGTGGATCATGGAAATTCGGCATAATATCGTTCGGTAATTTGTTAAGGTGGTCCAAGCTGCGAGTCAGTTTGTTGACGGCAAAAGCGTGTTCGCTGGGGGTGTAGTCGCTACTTGCTCCTCTGCTCAACATGTTTCCTGAATGGTGGTGGTAGTTGGGCGGTGGGCCGCTGAAGGCGCTGTCTCTCCGGCTCGACATCGTGTGGATTCCGCTGTCGTGAGTGATGTTTGAGGATATTGCCTTTTAAAAAACGTCTTAGTTAAAAACAAAAGTCGATTTTCTAAGAATAGTTCTATAAAAGCTAAACATTACAACAATAAAATAATACAGATGTGCAAAGGATTTTTTCGTTTTTGTATAAACATATTTTTTTTAATATTGCGTAAATCCATAATTTGTGATAAATATACACATCGCACATCCAGTTCAAGAACATCATAACTCAAAAATCAACAGTTTTAAGTTATGGTGGTTTTTAAATACTTAAACAACCCTAGAATGAAGAAACCATCATGAGTCCTATTTTGAAGAACTTAATTACACATACATTTAAGTTGCACTGAAATATCTGTATTGTCTAAGTGCGCACCCACCATATAAAAATATATGGTGCCTAAATTAATCTAATTTCCCAATAACCAATGCAATTTTGTGTAATAACTTATAATAAGAAAAAGGGACTTTTTGCAAAACAATGGCCGTAAACTAACCCTATAATGGTTATTATTTCCACTTTGTTTTAATAGTTATTTATACAATGTTCACTATGATTTTTATAGCAAAATCAGGCAGTGCATGTTTTTAAAATGCAGTGCTAGATTTTAAGTGGCAGTGTCAAATTTTAATAAGTAGCATTGCCAGATTTTAAGTAGCAGCGTCAGATTTTAAGTCGCACTGCCAGATTTTAAGTCGCACTGCCAGATTTTAAGTCACAGTAGTTTGAATTTTGATTTTCCGGCTGTTCCTTTCGGTTTTTTCGAATGTATTTTTTATTCAAATCACCCATGTATTGAGTTTAATAATAATTCGAAGCGCAGCTACGAACTGCATCTATTCAAATTCATTTAAAGTTGTACAAAATTCGATTTTCCGGCTGTTTCTTTCGATTTTTCCTAATGTAGGTATTTTTATTTAAATCACCCCTGTATTGAGGCGAACAAAAAAATATTTAAATCGGTTGAGCCATTTCCGAGTTTTTGCAGGAAAAACCGAAAGGAACAGCCGGAAAATCAAAATTCAAACTACTGTGACTTAAAATCTGGCAGTGCAGCTTGAAATCTGGCAGTGCAGCTTGAAATCTGGCAGTGCAACTTAAAATCTGGCAGTGCGACCTAAAATCTGGCAGTGCGACTTAAAATCTGGCAGTGCGACTTAAAATCTGGCAATGCTACTTAAAATCTGGCAATGCTACTTAAAATCTAGCACTGCATTTTCTACAAGCCTGTAAAATATTACAGGTCTGTTCACATTATGTATATATGTACAATATATCGTTTACTTGGATGCAAAAACAACAAAATTAACCTAAAAAATGTCATTTACTAAGAAGGTGGAAATAAATGACATTTATACATAGGTTAATTTTGTTGTTTTTGTATCCAAGTAAACGATATATTGTACGGGCTTGCATAAAAGACCTGTAAAGTTTTACAGGCTTGTAGAAAAAGCAATTTATGAAATGAAATGACACATTTGATACAATAATTGAAATTTTAAAATCGTTATCTAAATGTTACTACTATTATAAATTACTAAAGTTGTCTCAACCAAAAAAATAGTTTAAACCGAAAGAAAAGGTCTCAAGAAGTTTTCTCAGTTTTCTTAGTTCTTAATTTAATAAATATTATATTATTTTTTGTTTGATAAAAATAAATTATATTAACAAAAATCTGTTTTATTAGTGTAACAAAAAAAGTCAAAATGCCACAAACCTTATTAACGCAACAATAATTGAAATTTTAAAATCGTTATCTAAATGTTACTACTATTATAAGTTACCTACTAAAGTTGTCTTAACCAAAAAAAAAAAGTTTAAACCGAAAGAAAAAGTCTCAAGAAGTTTTCTCAGTTTTGTTAGTTCTTAATTTAATAAATATTATATTATTTTTTTGTTTGATTAAAATAAATTATATTAACAAAATCTGTTTTATTAGTGTAACAAAAAAAGTCAAAATGCCATTAACCTTATTAATGCAACATAAGTAATTTCTTTAAAGAATTATTTAATAAAGTCTTTCTAAAAAATGTAGACGTAAAAGCTATTGGATTTGCCATGCAGAGTTTGCAAAAAGGCATTATTGTCGTCCTTACTTTCTTCAAAAAATTCCTTTAACCTTCGCAAAACTTCAAACATGATTATCTCAGTTTAATGTTTTTTGAGTTAAAGTGGGTTAAACTGGGTGTGCGATATGTAGGAGGAAAAACCAATTAATAGAAAAACAAATGACAATCTATTAAAAATAAAAGTGTAGATAAAAATAATTAGTCTAAAAAAACGGAAAAGCGGAAGGCGAAAATTTAATTGAAAACTCCTGCCCAAATCGGGAAGGGTTATATACTAGTTTTTGTTTACTTATTTTAAAGTAAGATTTTACTGTACCTAAAAAAGACATCCTTGGACAGATTGTCTAAGACAATGGTTTAAATTTTTAATTGACTTATTTGAAGTGCTTTTAAAAGTTGCAAATATTCAACACCAACAATGCTCAACAAAATATCCAAAGTACTAATACTAAACTGAATTTTAAAATGGTCCTCACACTTAATTAGAGCCAGCCAAATAATTTTAATTATTTGGTTTATCTCCATTATACCTAAGTTTTGGATATATATTTTGTAGTTAAAGTTACATAGTTACCATAATCAGTTTTTGTATAATTTAAGTTTGGTAACACCTCAATGCTTTTACAATTTGAATTATATCTTAAAAACATTAAAATATAGGTACTTTTCAGTTTATAAGTTAGGTATACAGTTATAAAATTTATTTTTAAATTGTGATATTTTAAATTTATGCCTCAAGCTTTTTAAAATGTTTAAAATCAAGCCCGGGTTCCAAATCTATTATGGACAATTTTCAGCAGATTGGAAAGTTTTTACTTTCTAATGGGCTGAAATGCTTAAAGTTTGTGGAAAGTTTAAAAAATTATATTATTTATCTATGTATACAACAACTCTGCCGTTAACTGATTATGTAATTATAAAACACTTAAATTCTTCATAGATTTATACATGGATGTTTTTTATAATAATAAATATTAATAACTAGTATTAAATTAATTCTAGCTAATTGAGTAATTTAATAAAAAACAAGTACCTACATAATTTAAATAGTGTTATTGTAAATAATTAATCATAAGTATTTAAAAATGCTTTATTTGTAACATCAATTGTATAAACAATAAAAATGTTAAAATAGTAATTTTTTTTATATTTTATTTAAAATTGAAACAAAATAAAAAACTGGAAAATCAAAAGCACAAAATCGTACTCACCTGTCCCCTTTTCATAAAAGGATGGTCCAAAATCTGTTCCAAAGAAATCCTATCTTTCGGATTTTTCCTTAACAAAGAATTAATCAGATCCTTTGCCTCCAGTGACAAATAACTTGGTAGCTGATAATTGGCCATGACAACTCTCGTTAGTGTACCCTGTATGCCTTGAGTGTCAAATGGTGGAGAACCAACCAAGAGTGTGTACAAAAGACAACCTAACCCCCACACATCAGCCTCTAAACCATGTGACCCCCTCGAAGCCACTTCAGGTGAAATATAATTTGGTGTCCCACACATTGTCATGTGTTTTTCATCTGGACGGGTTAGCTGAGTGGCTAAACCAAAATCTGCTATTTTCTAAAAAGATATATAGGTAGTTAGTTTTATGCTACATAAACAGCGATTATAAGATTAAGACTTACTACTTGCATATCTCTAGTTAACAATAAATTAGATAGAGACAAATCCCTGTGCAATATGTTATGGGAATGCAAATACTTCAACCCTTCAACAACTTGTTGCATTATAGTACTTACTTCATTTTCTGCTAAATTCTAAGAATAAAAAAAATTAAAACAAACATTTTTAGAATTAAAATACCTCAACCTTTTTCTTAACATATTGCTGAAGTTCTCCGTTTTGACACAACTCCAATACCAAGTACACATAATTAATATCTTCAAAATAATTATACAGTTCCAAAATAGATGGATGCTTTAATCTGGAATGAATGAACACTTCTGTTTTCACTCTTTCGTCCATTTTATGGTCGTGCATAAGCTTCTTATCAATCTACAACACAAGAATTATTCCAAATGTTCGTAAACTTTTTCAAGGTGTTTACCATTTTAATTGCTACGTCAATTCCTGTTTTAAGGCATCTTGCCTTGTATACGGAGGCAAAACCTCCTTTACCCAATAAATTGTGAACCTCATAGTCCTAAAATTGTTTAATTAAACACATTTTTAAGATTGTAAACAATGATACTAACCTCTATTCTCTCCTTAAAAGTATTTAAGGACGTCATTTTTATGGCTAAAACTATGGGTCTTTCTAAAATATACTACTAATTGCACTAAATAATTTCACTATTATTACTTTTCTTCTATAAAAATTACATAAATTGTATAAAGTCATTACAACTTTACACGATTTTCAAACAAAAACATTGTGACTACATTGTTGCCGTATATCCCTTAAAATGTGTTTAATTTTTTTTTTAAACGAGCCAAAGTATAATTTTGAATACGATATTATATATAAATATGGCATTATAAAAATTAATTATAAAAGTTAAGGCATTATTTTAAGAAAAGAGTACAATTTTTGGGTCAGAAATGTTTAAGATAAATAGCCAGGCATTTGGCAACACGGAATAGACTAACGGTTTTACCAACTGACGCGCAGGGGAGCCAACATGAGATAAGCATGTTTGTACAGGGTGATCCCCTTTAACTTTTTTATTTTATGTGTCCCAAAAAAATTAAAAGTGGGGTTATGTAGGTACTAAAAAATACTTTTTCTATGTATAAAAAAAAATGGAAAATTGATCAATATACAGGAAAAAACAAAAAGATTATTTTTTTTCAATGGATCATCCTATATATGAATTTATTTTTCGATTCCTTGTAAAATTCTGAGCATAATTCTACGCATTCTACGAAGGCGTAGAAGGGCCATCCAAAATTCAAATCTGTATTTTTTACAAATTTCTGAGATATAACTCGAAATTTTAAAATTTTGAGTTAGGTATATCTCGAAATATTACACCAAAATTTCGTGTTATATCTCGGAATTTTAAAATTCCGTGTTATAACTAGGAATTTTAAAATTCCGTGTTATATCTCAGAATTTTAAAATTCCGTGTTATATCTCAGAATTTTAAAATTCCGTGTTATATCTTGGAATTTTAAAATTCCATGTTATATCTCGGAATTTTAAAATTCCATGTTTTATCTCGGAATTTTAAAATTCCTTGTTACATCTCGAAATTTTAAAATTCCGTGTTATATCTCGAAATTTTAAAATTCTCGAATTGTCGCCTAATACACGACTTCGCCATTCACCACTAGTCACCCAAGCAACAATTTAAGTATTTGTTACGTATATGGGACTATTGAAGAAACTTTAAAGTGTTTTGCGACAGTCGCCGGTCTCTTTATATTACTCTTTCATTACTAAGTTCCCAGATAGCACCATTCGTCCAATGGACGTCCGTTTAAGATCCATTTTAAGTACATTGGTCCACGGACTAAAAATGGATGTACTATGTACGTCCATATATTTACATCCTTTGTACGATTTTAATGGACGTCCATATAGTGTCCATTTTACGTCCATAATTATTATTACGGAAATGTAGTTAAAACGTATTGTTGGCTGCATAACAACAGTTATGATCAATCTCACTGACATTCAAGCAAGCGCGGGCTATAAAGGACGTAAGCTATCAATGAAATGTTAAACACTTGTAGTATTGCAAATGTAATATTCGAATACAAGGATTTCCTGAAATGTTTAACATTGAATGTTGTAACTTTTAACAACTTTTAGAATATTTATATTCCTAGTGGGATTGTTACTGAGCCAGACAAAAGGCATTTCAGTCATGTTGTAGAAAATTTTCTGCAACATCGCAATGAAAATACAGTCGCAAAAAACAGTTAAAGTAAGCAAAAAAGCAGGTCCTGGATGCTGGAGGAATGGTTTAAACACCTTATAGACGTCCATCGGTGGACGACTTATGGATGTCCAAAGTTGTGACATCTGGACTCTAAACGGATGTCCATGGGACGTCCATAGAAAAAAATGGACATCCTATGTACATACAGACGTCCACGAGCATACGTCCATTGGACGTCCATAGTATACCTTTGTGCTATCTGGGTTACGACTAAAGTGGGGAACAATTATTGAGTTCCAAAAAGGTAGCAAATATGTCACTAGCTATAAACCCTGCTACTATTTGGAACGTAGCTGCTACGTTACTAGACCGTTCCAATATCGTTGCTAGAGCGTTATAATTACTTTTATTATTTGTTTTTACTTCTATATTAACTGTCTTTGTCAAACTTATATTAGATTACCCACACAGAATACGCTATCCAATGGATATCCAATGGCTATCCCAATGTCCATATAACATCCATGCCTTTTACGATATCCATTGGATATCCAATGGATATCCATACTGGATGTTAAAAAAAAAAACAAAAACATTAAAAATATTTTTTTCTTTTTTAAAATAGCCCCTTATAGGATAAATTTATGTAATGATTAATAAATATGATTTAAATCGTTATTAACCCAATTTCAACAAAGTATCTCTAATATATATCCAATGGATAACTAATGTATGTCCAAAGTATATCCACTGTACATCTAATGTATATCCACTGGATATCCAATGGATATCCATACTGGATGTTCAAAAAAAAACAAAAACATTATAAATATTTTTTTCTTTTTTAAAATAGCCCCTTATAGGATAAATTTATGTAATGATTAATAAATATGATTTAAATCGTTATTAACCCAATTTCAACAAAGTATCTCTAATATATATCCAATGGATAACTAATGTATGTCCATAGTATATCCACTGTACATCTAATATTACATATGTATATCCACTGGATATCCAATGGATATCCATACTGGATGTTCAAAAAAAAAAACAAAAACATTAAAAATATTTTTTTCTTTGTTAAAATAGCCCCTTAAAGGATAAATTTATGTAATGATTAATAAATATGATTTAAATCGTTATTAACCCAATTATGTCCAAAGTATATCCACTGTACATCTAATGTATATCCACTGGATATCCGGTGGATAACTGATATGGATATCTTGTATATATACTTGTATGTATACATGTGGGATTTTGTGATGGTTTAAACTAGCATATGTAAAAAAAACAACTTTACGGTAAATTGATTTTTTGCCAAGAGCTACGAAATTTTTAATTTTGAAATGTTCACTTTACCCAGATAATAATATTTATATATTAATAATATTATTTCTGTTAATAATATGACTATGACAGTCTGCAATACAATAAAAAATTACTTAAAAAAGTCCCTTTTGTTTATTATTGTATTTCATAGTACTACGCACGCGCTGAATTTGAGAATCTTCAGTGTTGCCGGTTATAAGCAAAATTACTAAACGAAATATATTTCCGTACTTTATTAAGTTTTAATAAATAAATTAAATAAATTTAAAATAATTATTCACCACATTTATGTCAAATAGGTATACTAGGTATACTAATTAATTAAGTATTAAAGATTTAATAATATAACCGCCATTTTGACGAGCTTTCTGAAATTATTTAAACGTCTGACAACACTGCTCAGCAGTGACTGCTGCCGAACACAGAAGATAAAGAAGCGTCCTTTTTCTATGGTAGCGTCCGTTAAATATGATGCCATGATTGTTAGGTACATCCAAAGGGTTTTCATGTTTATTTGCTTCATTCCACAGATTGTAAAGGTTCATTCGCCATCATTGCTATTTGTTATATGTTTGTCATAAAGTTTATTGCCAAGTTATTGTGTTTTGTGGTTATTTGTTTGAGGTCTCTAGTGGTAAGTGAATATTTTATTAATTTTCTAATCATAGTTATCATTTTAAATTGTATTGGTCTAAAACTAATACAATTTTAAATTAAATAGGTATATTTAAGTGCAACTTATAAACTTTCGGTTAGCATTGAAGGTAAAACATTAAAGGTGAATACATGCATGCATTTATATACCGTACCTTTATTTGCAAGCTATACATAGGCTCGAGGGTAACAAATGGGCTGATGGATTGGCCAAATTTTGGGGATCATAAGGAGACAGGTGAAATAGGCCCTAAATGATTAGGCTGATAAAAAGGCAAATGATAGCTGGAGGAGTGATGTCAAGCCAGAGACTTCACTTATTTAGTTATATGTAGTTTTCTGTTCTATTTTATGTTTTCATAAAAATAAATATTTAAATTAAAGAATAAGACTTTTATTTTAAAACCCAATGTTATTTATTGAAAAGTAAATATCCATTGATTCACCATATCCAATACAGATGACAACCATATTGCATACAATACTATATCCACTGGGTATCCATTGGATATCCACACTATGTCCAGGAGGGTCGGACATTTATATATCCAATGGTTATCCATTGGATATACATACAATCTCCATATTGAATACAGATTACAACCATATTGCATACAATACTATATCCACTGGGTATCCATTGGATATCCACACTATGTCCAGGAGGGTCGGACATTTATATATCCAATGGTTATCCATTGGATATCCATACAATCTCCATATTGAATACAGATTACAACCATATTGCATACAATACTATATCCACTGGGTATCCACACTATGTCCAGGAGGGTCGGACATTTATATATCCAATGGTTATCCATTGGATATCCCGGATAACTCATGTATATCCTGGATATCCATAAAAGAAATCCATTGGATATCCATTGGATGTAATTGTTCCGTGTGGGTATACTATCCCTCCTTTTTTAAATGGAACCACTACGGACTTGGCTTTTCAATGTCGTCGTTTATTAAATATGTAATGGTAGTTTATAACTTCCATAATAACAATATAATGTTTAATTACACAGGTAAATTTATAAACCCTTTAAATTTTACTGTTGAACTTATGAATTAACCCAGATAGCACCATTCGTCCAATGGACGTCCGTTTAAGATCCATTTTAAGTACATTGGTCCACGGACTAAAAATGGATGTACTATGTACGTCCATATATTTACATCCTTTGTACGAGTTTAATGGACGTCCATATATATACACTATAGTGTCCATTTTACGTCCATAATTATTATTACAGAAATGCAAGTTAAAACGTATTGTTGGCTGCATAACAACAGTTATGATCAATCTCACTGACATTCAAGCAAGCGCGTGCTATAACCCAGATAGCAAGAGTCTGTCCTGAGGACGTCCGTAGGATGTCTACTTCGGATAAGCCGGACGTCCTGAGGATGGCCCATGTTGGACAAATGCCGTCTGTGGGACGTCGACAGACTTCCAAAAGAGACAGTTTTGGCTATCCTCAGGACGTCCTATTATGGTCCTACGAGGACGTTATCAGGAAAGTAATGGAACGTCCTGAGGATAGCCCATGTTAGACAAATGCCGTCTGTGGGACATCAACAGACATCCAAAAGAGACAGTTTAGGCTATCTTCAGGACATCCTATTATGGTCCTACGAGGACATCAGGAAAGTAATGGGACTTTCCTGGGATATTTATTTTATATCCCTATAGGAAGTCCACGTCGGATAAACCGGACGTACTGAAGATGACCCTAATTGGTCTTTTCTAGGGATACATATGTATCCCTAGGAAGGTCCCATTACCATAATAGGACGTCCTAGGGATACATAATAATTATTTAAATGTCCCATTACTTTCCTGATAATGTCCTTTCCTATAAATATGTGGAATATATGGAAAGTGATACATCAAATAATTATTTCTGAAAATATATTTAAAAAAACAGAAACATATTGCACGTACAATAAATATATAAACATATACATACAACATATATGTACAACGTCTTGATAAACATTTATATATAAAAAAAAATTATATTATCAAAACAAAAAAAATATATTTTCTCTTCTAATCTTCGTCATCCTTATTTTACCACTGCCACTCTATGGGCCTTGCCTCTTTTTAAATATTTCTTTGGTGTACTTTAACCAACTCTTAATATCTGCTTCTACCTGCTTTCCAGTCACATTCATAGTCCATGAAACTGTTTCTAGTAATGAAAGAATTTTGTTTAATAATATATTATTAACGATTACATCTTGAGCCGCCAGGCGGGAGAGGTAAATTATCCTTGTGAATATTGAGCATATGCGCATTATTCACTCGGATGATTACATCTCTCGCCTGGCGGCTCAAGAAAGAGCATGGCATTACACTTGAAATAATATATATAATAATATGCATGCCTTATCTACTTCTATTAACAAAATTCTCAATAAATATATTAATTACGTGAGGTTTTAGGGGGGGAGGGTGTCGAGTCAAACCTCACCCAATCTCACGTGGGGGAAGGGGGTCTCGGTAAATATCACGTAATTTTTTTTCCAAAATAAACAGTGTAAAATTGCGAGAAAACTGAGTTATTAAATAAAAAATTATAAGCAATTTTTTTTAATAAATCTAAAGCAATCAAGCACAGAATAACTTATTTACATTAAAACTATGCATTTTAAAAAATCTCACGTGAGATTAAGGGACGGTGGAGGGGGTCAAGCAAAATCTCACGACATCTCACCAAGGGGAGGGAGGGGGTCGAAAAATCGCCAAAATTGCCTCAAGTAATTAATGGATGCCCCCTAACCTCACTTTCTGCCGAACTTCATGTTAATATATTTCAAACACGATTGTTTCATGTTTAAAACGAGTCGTTTTAAACATAACAACCCTGTCTTAAATGTCTCAAAAGAAATTAGGTATTGACCTAATACTTATTAGAAACTATAATTAAGTATACTTATTAGAAACTGAATTCCAATTAATTAAAACTTAAGGAAACCCAAGATTTCAGATTAAAAACCGTTGAAAAATATAATCAATTTCAACTCGATACTAAAAAACATTTAGGTTAATTAGCAATTTGAAGCCATATTTCTAGTTGGTCAAAAAAATAATGGTATCATTACTTACCACTTGTTGATATGCAAAATTCGCTCTGCAAATGGGTAAAAGTTCACTTAACACAAAGTAAAGCGCACAGAATAGAAGCAAAGCGCATTTAACAACACCGTGTCGTGAATGACAAAGAAATGGCGTCCCTAGACGATCTAGGATGGCGTCACAAAACATGGCGTCTTGCCCATATATGGAAATTCCGCTGCGGAATTCAACATACTTCCACAGATGGCGCTAATAACTTATTAGTAATAAGAATTCGTAATCTTTCAAAAATAAGATTCTTTTCGATTAAAAATTAACTAACAACTTTAATAAATCCGTATAGAAAGCACAAACTTACAGTACAAGAATTTAAAAAAAATTTAGTGTCTATACTTAGAACGTAGGACGTCTATAGGACGTCTGTAGGACATCGTAATAAAATTGGTAAAAACAGCAAATTAGTAGATTTGTGCACATTTTATTATGGTAATTGAAACATTATCTTAGTAAAATTTGCACAAAGCTATTATTAATTTGATGTTTTTACCAATTTCATTACGACGTCCTAAAGACGTCCTAAGGATAGCCACCAAAAAGGTATCAATTTATCGTTTTAATTAAAAGTTTAAATCAACAGTTAAAAATCAACATGGTAGGTAGGTTCTTTTGTTTACATATTAAAATTTTTATAAGAACTAAAATATGTATCACGCTTTAAAAGCAGACGGTCGTGGGACGTCCTCAGGATATACGGTCCAGTCGGTCGGGTGAGGCCCTAACTAGGATATCCGTAGGACGTCTCATGCTATCTGGGAAAGGACTTAAGCTGTCAATGAAATGTTAAACACTTGTAGTATTGCAAATGTAATGTTCCTGAGTCGAATACAAGGATTTCCTGCAATGTTCAACATTGAATGTTGTAACTTTTAACAACTTTTAGAGTATTTATATTCCTAGTTGGATTGTTACTGAGCCAGACAAAAGGCATTTCAGTCATGTTGTAGAAAATTTTCTGCAACATCGCAATGAAAATACAGTCGCAAAAAACAGTTAAAGTAAGCAAAAAAGCAGGTCCTGGATGCTGGAGGAATGGTTCAAAGTTCAAACACCTTATAGACGTCCATCGGTGGACGACTTATGGATGTCCAAAGTTGTGACATCTGGACTATAAACGGATGTCCATGGGACGTCCATAGAAAAAAATGGACATCCTATGTACATACAGATGTCCACGAGCATACGTCCATTGGACGTCCATAGTATACCTTTGTGCTATCTGGGAAGTTTTTGTAGAATAAATGCGCTTCATCAATATTTAAGTATAAACAAATTATTTATTTAGTAATGTTTATAAATAAAAAAATCTTAATATTTATTATTATTTTTTTTATTTAATTATTACCTACAAAATTACTATTTATTAAAAAGTAAACAACCATTTACAAACAATTAAAATAATTTATTATTTACATTACCACGTGGTACTGTACAGTAAAAAATGGCCGATAAGAAGCATTTTCCTTTGAAGTAGTTTTCGCTACTTTAAAGTTTTTTTCCACTTTACGGTTGTTTTGATTAGTACCATAAACGTTCCAAATACTAAAATAATAACTTTTGTTAACTTTGTAGTTTTTAACTCATGTTCCAGTTTCGAGATTTTAACTTAAGGGACTACAAAGTAAAAATAATTATAATGTAATCTTTAGGTAGCAACCGAAAGTAACTGCTACAAATTAAATTTACTTGAAAGTTTTTTTTACTTATAACACCTTTTTTAAAGTTGCAAAGTCTTCTTGGGGGCAACCAAGTTTTACTTAAACGTTTATTACTTTATAGTAACAATTTAAGGAAAAATTAAGTTTCTGTTACAAAATATTGCTATTTAAAAGTTAGAATTACTTTTAAGTAAAAATTAAAGTAGCTGGTTAGTATACTTAACTAATTTAAAGTTATCACCACTTTGGCAATGGTTTTTGGAACCAAAAATGCTGCTTGGGCAGTGTTGCCACTCGTTCTTTTTATTTTATACTAGGTGGTTCCGTCATTTCGTTCTAGATTGTACTAAATGCTATATTGGTGAAATTGGCCACAGATGGTAGCACCAGAGAAATACTCTATTTCTCTGGGCAGCACCAATAATTCATATATTTTAAAGAACGTACGTATCTTATTGCGAGAATATACCCAACTATAAAAAGTAGATCTATTAATTTTGCTAAAGCGTAATAACGTACTAAAAAATCAATTTTAGTACTAGATCTAGTACAAAAATTCTAACAGTGGCAACACTGCCCCTAGTGCGTACAAGATTCCGAGATATAACACGGAATTTTAAAATTCCGAGATATAACACGAAATTTTAAAATTCCGAGATATAACACGAAATTTTGGTGTAAAATTTCGACTTCCAGCTCGAAATTTTAAAATTTCGAGTTATATCTCAGAAATTTGTTTAAATTTGTAAAAAATACAGATTTGAATTTTGGATGGCCCTTCTACGCCTTCGTAGTAAATGGTATGTTATATGAAATATGCTTAGAATTTTACAAGGAATCGAAAAATAAATACATATATAGGGTGATCCATTGAAAAAAAATAAACGTTTTGTTTTTCTCTGTATACTGATCAATTTTCCAATTTTCTTTATACGTAGAAAAAAAGTATTTTTTAGTACCTACATAACCACACTTTTAAATTTTTTGGGACACTTAAAATAAAAAAGTTAAAGGGGGGCGACATTATAGGGGATCACCCTGTACACTGTACCACAGACCAAACCACTATATATTATATTATTTTATACTATTATAGTATATTAATGTATAATACATTGTATAGTATACAACGCACAGCGTGGGACAAAAACATAATGTTAACATTGCATGCTCTCTAAATAGATTATACCTGATTTTAAGAAAAAATACAAAAAAATTATATGACACATTTTTATTCAGTCTTTTATTTAAATATAAGTTCATAATATTTAGGTGAGTTAATAAAAGTTTATAAACCAGTTAATTTTTAAGTTTGAATTATAAAATTTAATGCAGTCTTGTTTTTTTTTATTTTAAGGTTACAAATTATTTAAAATAACACATTTTTTTTTCAACCGGCTATAACCGTTCTTGGACATGCACCAGCGTGAAGCATATTGACATCTGAAAACAATTTTTTTTATATTTAAAACAGGTAACAATTTTTTTTACGCCAAAATGACTTTTTTTCTTAAAAAAATACTTACTTATTCCACAATTTTGGGCGCAAGCCAACCTTTGGGGGTTGCTATAGGTTATTCTATTAGTCCCACAAAGCGGATTATATTGCGACGTTGTCATGCATCTGTCTTCGCACGGAGATTGGGTGGTTCCCATACCGGGAATTTCAACGGTAGTGCTTCCAGTTCTTGGAGTGGTGGTACGGGATCTTTGGGTGGTAAATTCTTGTGGATCAACGACATTATTTAAAGGTGCATCAGGGAAAAACAGGGCATCGAAAGGGCTTGGTCTCTTACCAGGTCTGCTGGTATTTTGGTTTTGAGACGGTCTTTGATTTAGACCGGGTCGTTGATTTTGACCGGGTCTCTGGTTTTGACCAAAGCCTGGGTTTTGACCGAAGCCTTGGTTTTGACCAAATCCCTGGTTTTGACCGAAGCCTTGGTTTTGACCGAATCCCTGGTTTTGACCGAAGCCTTGGTTTTGACCGAAGCCTTGGTTTTGACCGAAGCCTTGGTTTTGACTAAATCCTTGGATTTGCCCAAAGCCTCCAAAACCTTGGTTTTGTCTAAAACCGGGATTTGGAAACTGTCTTCTATTCGCTATTGGACTGTTTGGGTTAAAATTGTTAAAACCAAAATTATCCTGGCCTTTTGAAAGATGCAAAATTAGCAACAAAGCTGTAAAACAAAAAAATATTGTATTTCAGGTTTTATCCCTGATAGCACAGTTTATTCTAAAAATGTTTTTTAAACCTTCCAGTGGGAATATTCTTAGGATCATGCTATATTTCTTCTAGTCATGTTCTAAGAATGTTTTTTAAACCTTCCAGTGAGAATATTCTTAGGATCATGCTATATTTCTTCTAGTCATGTTCTAAGAATGTTTTTAAACCTTCCCTTGAGAATATTCTTAGGATCATGCTATATTTCTTCTAAAGAACATGCTTAAAAGAAATATAGCATAATCCTAAGAATATTCTCACTGTCCTATAGGCAGGTTCTTAGAAGGTGCAAAGTTTAGTGGTAAAAATTAATCCACTCTAAACATATGCTTAAAATGTTGAGAAGGTAATTGTTATAAAAAGTTCATTTAGTAACATTCATGGAACATTTTGTTAAGCATATTCAGTTCAGTTAGGTACCTATATTATAGTAAAAAATACCATAATATAAGTATAAAGGTACTTAGTATTAAATACTAAGTAAAAAACACAACCCAAAATATTTTTTTTAGATATTTGTCAAATTAAATAAGGAAATATTTTGTTTTTTTATATTTTATTTTATGTTAAGAATAAATATTTATTAATTTGTATACCGATTTTTTATTTCTAAATTAACATTTTTATATATAATATTATTATTATTATATTATTATTATTATATTATTATTATTATATTATTATTATTATATTATTATTATTATATTATATTATATAATCCTAACTATCTTCAACTTCAATCTAATCTGACTTAACCCACAACATTTTCCAATTTTATTTTTTATGAAATACTACTAATACAACTTATGGTTTAGAGGTGAAATTGTTTATTTAATATTTTTAAATAAATATATATTAATATGTCGCAAAATTTTTTAAGGGGACGACAAATACATTTCACTGTCATATTATGACAGTGAGGCGTATTTGTCGCCTCCTGAAGAATTTTACGAATGTAGAATCCAACATAAAGAACGTGGGTATCTGACATATTTGGAAATATTCTCAAAAGCTTCCCAGAAGCTCCATAAGAAACCTTCTAAGAACATTCCAAAAACGTATTCTTAAAATGTTCTTAGAAAATGCTTTTTAGGAAGGTTTTAAGAAGCTTCTAAGAATCTAATTGCATCATTAAAAGGGTATCTATTGAATGTTTTAAAAGTCCCTAAGAACATTCTTAGCATTAATGGAAGGTTCTAAGAATATTCCATTATTCCGGGTCATATCTTCTTAGAAGATTCTTAGAATCAAATTTTGCTATCAGGAATGCATTTTTTAGTAAAATTTCTCTTCTGCGATATAGTTTTACAAAAGTACATGCAAAGTTTATAAATAAGAAAATTTTGAAATGGAGCCGTCCATAAATCTTGTGACGCTAAAAATTGCCAAAATTGACCTCCTCCCCCTTCCTCGTGGCGGAATGTGATATCCGTTTATATACGTTTTAAAAACCCAACCCCCTCAATTTTGAAATGTTCTTGTTTAAAACTTAATAAACATTTTTCTGGATTTTTATATAAAACTATGTCAGATAAGATTTTATAAAATTTGTAAATTTTACCATAATAAATATTTAAATATTGTAATTAACTAGAAAATTTACTTCTAATTTTAAGTTCCTTTTTACATAATTTATTGATTGATATTTTGACACATTCTTAAGAATGTGTCAAAATATATAATTATTATAATAAAACTAGAGTTTGGTTATTTTTTAAATAAACCTGCAGATTTGATATGAAAACCTGTCTATTTTCCTTGTTTGGTTGCATTTTTAAAACGTTATAAATAAGTGATTATTCAACAAAACCGGTAGCAATTCGCTACTTTTACCATTGACATTTATCATCAAATCAGTGACAAAGAAGTACAAGAAGAAAACAATTAATAAAACCATTTTAAATGCGGTTTTTATGACCTTGGCTGGATATTTAAAAATATTAATAAAACACAATTAACAAGTACCTATTTATGTATTAGTATTAGTATATATAGTGAGTATACTCACAGCAAAATTTAAAAACCATTTTGGCACCACCGCACTTAGGAATTCTGTTTATCCACTAACAACATCTAAACGACACGTAAACAGGTGAATAAGTTTGTGTTTCCCTGTTCTGTTCTTGGATAACTTGTAGCAAGTTTTCTGCTCGATCTTCTTATAAATATTGCAGGTCTCAGTCACTTCGCTCGTCATTCATTCATTAGCTACCAGTTTGCGGTTCAAGTGATTAATAGAAACATGATTTTACGTCTTAAGTTTTGTATTATACATTTTTTATGTTGTTTGTACATTTTAATCTAAATATTTTTACATATATCCCACATATTTTTTACTAACCCTTAGGCAGGAGTTACCAATTTTTTGTTTGGATCCCCAATACCCAAATTAAATTATTTAAAAATATTTCTTAAAAATGACTTTGTTTGTTCAACAAAACCGTGAAAATAAAAAAAAGTTGGTTTTGCATTTTAACTGCTTATTATATATTTTTAATGATTATTACATGAATAAAATAATTATTTGTTAAAAAAACATTATTAACTTAAGTTTAAGTTTCATGGTAATATTGGCTTTATTGTAGTATTTATATTTAGTCGTGACTAAATTTGTATACATTTGAAAACAGTGTATGTATACGTACCTATAGGTACCTTTATATTTTTTTAACTCCATTTTTAAAACGCCCATTATCCTACATGTTTCCATGACATTAAGTGACCATTTAAATACACATTGAGAAGTTGTGGCTTCATGGCAATTTAGTCACGGGCTGAAGTTAGTTTTAAGTTAATTGGCAGTTGTCAAATGACCTACAATCGTTAAAATAAAGTGCCCTTCTTGTAAAATAATACTAAGGGTAAAAATCAGGCCCGTATCTAGACTTATATTTCGGGGGGGGTTAGAGGAGGTTTAAAATAAAACTAATATGTTTAAATGGGTTTTAATGAAAAAAAAACAGGTTAAATATATTTAACATTTAACTTTAAAATTTAAAAAAAACTAATTATAATAATAAAGAAATATTTCTCTGCTTTTCTCTCGCAAAACAATTTAAGACCTCTGTGGTATCAATTTTAATGTTTCTATGCACACTTAAAAGGGCCAGACCTGTTAGACGTTCTTGACCAGTTGAATTCCGCAAATAGTCTTTTAAACGTCTCAATAATGAAAATGATCTTTCCGATGAAGCTGTAGATACAGGTAATGTAGCAAGAATTTTTAAAAGAATATGTATATTAGGAAATATAGATCGATTGCATGCTGATAATGCGTCAATAGCATTTTTTGGTCTTCCAGCTTGAGGCAAGTCAGTCCATTTTTGTTTCCATAACTTTAACTCTGCAGATAAGGTATCAAAGTCCAAAAATTCTTCATATAAAGAAAAGTCTTCTATTTTTACTTTGTGTGTAACGCACATAGTTGGCACTAGAAAATATAATGATGAAAGTGATTTTTTATGATTTGCAAATCTTTCAGTCAATTCTTCGATAAAATCGTCAAAAAAGGGAATTGCAACTGTAATTCGAAAATATTCTTCTGCAGTGGCTACCATGACATTAGGACGATTTTGCTGACGTGCAACTATTCTTGGAATTTTTATGCACTCTTGGTCATCTACAGACTTTATAAGTGTTTCAGATTTTTTAAAAATATTGCTAAATTCCTGATCTATATTAAGTCTCATATTCCTTACCTGACTAATAACAGTATCCACATGCTCAACAGCACTTATTAGATCAAAATCCACAGACTGTAAAATTCTGCATAAAGGTAGAGTAAAAGCAAATAAAGTGGACGCAGTTAACATACTGATGATAAACTCACTAGTCATAATCGCCCGAAGAAATTGCAAAGCTTTTGAGGAAGTTTCGATGTCTTTTACTAGTTTTAGATCTTCTAGTGTTTCAACAATTGGTTTAAAAACTTCAGTAAACCTTATTAGTCCGTCATGATTTTCCACCCACCGTGTTTCACACATGGATGTCAACTTAGTCCATTTAGTATTTGGAACATGTTCTTTTATTTTAATTTTTAATATCTCAGTGCGCTTAGCTGGTATTTTTATAAAATTTGCTATAGATTTTATTGTTCCAATGCAATTTCTAATACTCTGAACCTTACATGAATGGGCAAGAGCTAAATTTAAAGAATGAGCACTACAGTGCACGTACATTGCTGCCGGGTATTTTTCTTTTATTATAGCCTGTACGCCTTTAAAACTGCCACTCATTGCAGCAGCTCCATCATACCCCTGTCCAACTAAGTAAGTGCAATCTATTCCAAGTTCTTGTAAACTTTCTAACATTACTGTCGCTAAATTCTTACCAGTAGTATTATGAATAGCTACAAATTGCAAAAAATCTTCTCGCAATGTGTAGGATTGGTTTTCGATTTCTTCATTAAAATCTATGTATCTTACACAAAGGGATAACTGCTCAGTACGGGAAATATCTGTAGTTTCATCCATTAGAATAGAGAAAAATTTTGCTCTCTTTATTTTAAGTACAATTTTTTGTTGTATTATTTCGGCACAAATTTTGATAACATTATTTTGAATTATTGGGCTTATGTACATTGTGTTTAACGACTGGCCTTGAATGTGATCAATTAAATTTTTGTCACCACATGAGAGGCGCATACGCAGCAAAGCCCTGAAATTTCCATCATTATGAGTGGGTTGATTCAAATTTAATGGCCCAGAATCAGAAGTTCCTCGTAGAGCTAGCTCTTGACGCCCACACAAGATAATTGTCTCAATTATAGGTGCTAGTTTTCTTCTATTTTCTGAAATTTGCTTAGAACGGCTAGAATCGAGTTGCATCATAATATCAGGCGTAGATCTATTAAAAGTTGCTATAAAATTATCGGCAAAAACGGAGTTATTTTCGTGATAGACAGCTTTACCGTGTTGGATAAATACCTCAATAGCATCTTTCCAGTTATTAAAAGGTTTTGCAACTAATGCATTAAGCTTCTGATGATCTCCTTTTCCACTAAATTCGCGTGCAAAAACTGCACAATACCTACACACTGCACCTTGGTCACCTTTGGCGGTATAGCTAAGCCACTGAAAACGTTTTAGCCAACTTAATTGAAATTTTAAGTTTCTTTTTTTGGAAATGGGAAAGTTATATTTTTCATCTGGAACCCACACAGCCGTCAAGAGTTTATACTTAAAATCATGGTTTAGTTTTTGATCAAAACTCCAACCGATGTCTAACTCATGAATATTATTTTCCGGAATTGTCGGTATTTCATCTGTATGCAACATTGAATTGGCTGTACCTGTATGGCTGCAACTTGCAGCTTCTTTCGCTGATTCGGTCGAAGATTTTGGCTTTTTAACTAAAAAATTAGATAATGAGGTTTGTAAACTTCTTTTTGCCATTACGATGTAATTTCTGTAAGAAAATTATGAATTTACCAAAAACTGATGACTATAAAATTTATAGTATAAATAATATTTTATATAACATTACCTTTTGTCCTACTGTAGTAGTTGTAATTAAAATGTTCTTAACACAAATATTATTAGTCTATTAGTTAGTTAGTTAGTAATAGTCACTATTATTTACCAAGTTAAATATTATCACATAGTACTAAGTACATAATACACATTACAAGTTTTTTGCGCGCCACTTGCCTAACATTTTCTAAAAATTATAAACAAACACAGATTATCTATTCTGGGAATTCTCCTAAAGCACGCGACGCACGCACGACCGTTTACTGTTGAGAGAGAGATTTTTTCACTCCCACGTTAAAGTAAAGAAAACTGTACATCTGTTTGCCACAAGGCTTCACAGAGGGCGCAATTTCAAATTTTTATAACTAACTTTAAATAAATATTTATTGATTTACTTTAATAAGTAAATATGGAAAGTGATTTAAAAAATATGAAAACTATTAACAAAAATGTAACTTTTTACTGTGTATTTTTTTTTTATATAAATTTATATTTTGGGATTTTATTTTCTTTCGGGGGGGGGGGTTTGAACCCCCAAAACCCCCCCCTAGATACGGCCCTGGTAAAAATTATTTTATTATCTCAGTACAAAAATACAAAAGTAATAAATACTTTCTCAACGCCAATTTTTTCTTAATTTCATGTAGAGACTCCACTGTGGAGTACCCATAAAACATTTTCTTCACTTTCACTGTAAAAAGCTGCATCTATATCATCATTTAAACGGTTGTTAGTCCATTTTCAAGGGATACATTATGATTAACACGTAAAAATTTGACATTTCACATTCCATACAGAACACAAGTAACCATTCTGGTTACTTTATTGTTTTGTAGATGTAGCTCTAGGCAAATATTTAATTTAAATCTTATTTAGATACCATGCTAAAAAAGACGGGTAATATCGGATGATTTCGGATGAAAAACCAAACTAGTTTTAAATTCATTTATATCTGTTTTTATCTGACATAATATTATTATTATAATATTATCTGATTTTACCCGGCATCTCTGTTTTCATCTGCAATTGCGGGTATAAATATTATCCGCGAACGTCGGGTTTTATCTATTTAGTTCTATGTAGAGATGCGACTTAAAAAAAACGGTCCGTTTTTTTTTGTTTTTTTTTCAGGTTTTTTTTTCATTGTTTTTTTTCAAATGGTTTTTTTTCACATTTTAGGTTTTTTTTTTTCAAGATTAGTCCCATTTGCCTAATTTTTTAGGTTTCATGGACTAAAATTAGCCACTAAATGACAATTAGTAAATGTAAATACAGTCTCGCGCTATGCACGAGCCACCACCACCGAATTGACTGACCAATAAGGGCCCCGCTTGTTTTGATTTGGTCCTAAAAAAAGTATCTACATATAATATTTTTGATTCAGCGTTTGATTTTTCAAAAAGCTTCCAAAAGCACTTTTTTCATGATTTTTCAAATTCATGTAGAGTATGGAATTTTTTTTCAAAAAAACAATAGCAAATTCTGTAGAACATTTATTCATTGGTGGTTAAGTCAGAACATTCCGTGGACCAGAAAGCCAAAAAAATCGACTTTTTGTATTACGGTATTTGTTAGGATTGAGCTTTGCACATTTTTCTCAAAACTAGAAACTTCAAGCTTCAAATTGCTTTTTTTACGGCTCCAATACGACCATTTTTAACAAAGATACAGCTATCCGAAGAATCGCAAAACAATTTTTTATCCTTTAATTTTTTGTATTGGTGTAGAAGTTTTACATTGCTACTGGTTTCTAATGTGGTATACCAGGTAGTTATAACCAAATAATAAAAATCAGATTTCAATAATGAAAAATTTAATATATTCTACATTTCACTTTATTATTAATATATATTTTACTCAAAATTTTATTTAAAAACTACCTCTTACTACCTCGGCAGAAAATACGTTGTTTCGTCCCCGATTCCACGGCAGAAAGTTTACGTTTGATGCATTGGTCAAATTTACTTTTGATGCACTGGAATCGAGGACGAAACAACGTATTTTCGAGTATATTACACTACAAGGGCTACAAAGGCTTCGCTCGTGCCGCAAATGTCGGGGCAGGCATCAATATGTTTCGATATACACATTAATTTTTTCCCGTATTTTCGGCCGGGTTGGGTTGGGTTGTATTTTCGGCCGGGTTGGGTTGGGTTGTATTTTCGGCCGAGGTAGTAAGAAAAATAGTATACACTACACGGGAAGAAAGTGTGAGAGCCCTGAACTGCGCGCCATGATGCCCTCGGCTTCGCCTCGGGCATCATGGCGCGCAGTGCAGGAATCTCACACTTTCTGCCCTTGTAGTGTAATATACTATTTTTTTCACATCTGAAAAAAAAACCGTTTTTTTACATCTCTATGTCTGCTTTCGTCTAGTTTCATACGAAAATACCTGTATTTGGGTATATATCTGCATTTACCCGGTTTTATCTGCAAATACCTGCTTTCGTCTGTTTTCACCCTAGGGTGAAAATAAAGGCAAATAAAGGCAAATAAGTAAATGAAGGCAAACGCAGATAAAACAGCTGTTTTATCTGCGTTTGCCTTTATTTACTTATTTGCCTGCTTACGTCCGGTTTCATTCGCGATTATCTGATTTTATCCTGTTTCACTTGCAAACATCTGCGAACGTCTGATTTCATCCGCAAACATCTATTTTAATCCGCAAACATCTATTTTAATCCGCAAACGTCTGCTTCATCCGATTACACCAGCAAACATCTGCTTTTATACGCGATGATCTACTTGCATCCGCGAACGTCTGCTTTAATCCGCAAACATCTACTTTAGTCCGCAATAGTCTGCTTCATACGATTTCACCTGCAAACATCTGATTTTATCTGCGAAGATCTTATTTTATATGTAAAAGTCTGATTTAATCCACAAACATCTGCTTTAATCCGCTGCTTATAATAATTATTACAATAAACTGATTTTATAAATATAGTAGCGAAGAAATTGGACGAAAATGAAGATTAATCGATTTAGCATTTCCTGGCAATATTGAACTCTTATTATTTTTTGCTCGTCGGTGATTTTGATTACCGGCATTAATTTAAATTGTTTGAGTTTATATTTTTTTATTGTCATAAAAAATTTTATATTTAGATTTTTCAAAATAATTGGCAGCATCTTCTATAGATTTTAAAGGGTTTTCTTTAAAAAAATATGTATTTAAATTTTATATTAATTAAAAAATATAAAATTTACCTTGAAAAAACAATAAAATATTTGTCCTTTTTTTTCTCTTTAAATCTTTATTCTCTCTAAACTTTCATTCAATTCGTATAAACGTATTTTTTGAGGGGATATTGATGACATTAGGACGTAGCCTAAGAAACTCCCTTCTTGCAATTCGACAATTGCAATTATTTTTATAAAACAATTCTAAAATTGTTCGTTTTTCGTCTTCGCTATACCTCATTTTACTCAATCTAGTTTAAAACACAAGAAAATGCCAGTTCTTTATCTACGGCTACTTTGATCCTTGCGTTCAAATTAGCAATATTTTCGGGTCAATTATTAACAAAACTGTTATTAGAAAAAAACTCTTTTTAAATATTTAAAAATATACAGGGATTCCATTGAAAAAAACAATGTCAATGATATTTTTTTAAATTTGCCGATGTTTATTGTTTTTTTATTTTCGTCAAAAAAATACTTTTTTAAGCCATGTAAGCTGGTTTTTGAATTTTTTTGATATCACTTTTAATAAAGATTTTATAGGGGTGTCCCATTTATACGAAAACAACCTGTACATACCAAAATATTTTGTTAATTTTCAATAGAAATTAATTGTATTAACAAAATATTCTTGGAAATGCTATATTTTAACCCAATTTTATTTGATTTGACAAATCATTTTTCTGCGTATATTATTATTTGTAGTTTTATTTTACGATATTTTTGTTAGGTAAATATTTCTGTGTTCTTGTACTGCGCGATTATTATTAATTCCGTAACAATATTTGCCTCCATATTGTTCGTGAGCTCTCTAAAAATGAATTAATCAAAAATAAATTATTGTCATAGAGAAAAAGCAGCCACTAATAATTCTCGTTAACATCTTTTGATATATAGTCAATTTTCCATATAATATGAAGTTGACAATATCCCAAAAACTGTTATACTTTCATAATTGTTGACGGTCTTTTCGGAATCAGGGTAGAATTTTACATAATAATTGGCTGTTAAATGTCCGGGATACAAATAATTTGTACACAGCAATTATTGCTGTGTACTACAGTTATTAGTGACTGCTTTTTCGCTTTGAAGTCATTTTTTACTAATTTATTTTTAGAGAATGTCAAAATTATTTTTTTACGACCGTTACAAAAACTGACCATATTTATTGATATTTGATATTTTTATGCCGCGTGCTAATTGAAACTTATTGCGTTAATAGCTATTAATTAACCTTAAAAATTAAGTAAGAAACTTCATTTACCCGGCGCATTCGCAACTGTTGAAATTGGTTTTATATCTTATTTTATTTTAATTAGCACTTACTCAAACTCAAAATGCGTGTAATTACTCTTTTTGCTAAAAACAATTAGATCAACTAACTATTTTGCAATATTATTATTACGTTTCCGATAATAAGCCTTGAAATTGTCAATTTCAATCAAAATAATTCAGACGCATTTCCCATGAAATTAAACAGAGTTAAAATAAATAAACACTTTTGATTTCACTAGTCATGTAGTGGACACATTTGTGTAATTTGCTATAAGTATACGCTTAATTAAATCAAATATTTTTTATTTGCATACAAAACAAGTAGCTTTGGTTATAAAAGGATATTTTGTTTATTTCATTTATTTTTATGCGATTCTAAAGGAAATGTAAACAAGTCAATACTATAGAGTTCAAGTCAAAGAAAATTTTAAATCAAGGAAAAACCTTTTGTTGCCATTTGAAAG